ACTTCACATTTCCATGCAGTTACAGCGAGATAGCTCAATGGTTAGAGCGCGAATTTACTGACCGGAAGGTCCGTGGTTCGAACCAGACCTCTGCCTCTCGACGACCCCTGTCTAGGCTTGGGCTACCTGGTAGTATCCCGGTCCTCGTGCCTCCTTCGTGTGGCATGGCAGCTGAACGATTCGTAGTTACAGCATAGAGCAGTGACTTCGCAAATGTGTGTGAGGAGGGGGACAACTCATTTAATAAGCGTTCGGTTTCAATAAAGTCTAGCGGTTAAAACCCACTTAATCGGTAGTTTTTGCTACCGCACTATTTAGTTCACGGAGGATATGACTTAGAGAAACGACAGTTACTCAGTGAAGGGGATAACTCAGGTCACTTCACTGTGGACTGACCGTGGAAACACATGGAGAGACGATAGTTCGATGACGATGACGTTATCCTCTTATACATCAGTTCATACCTGGAACATCATCCAACTAACATCGTTCACTAGGACTTCTCACGTTCTGTCTTTGGATTGTACAAAAAAATCGTCCAGCTGTAGCACCCTTTCGGTGCCTAACTGCCGTGCCACCCGAAGGTTGCACGAGGGCTGGGATACTGCCAGGTTGTCCAAGCCTAGACAGCAAAAGTCGAGAGACAGAGGTCGGGTTCGAACCACGGACCTTCCGATCAGCAAATTCGCACTCTAACCACTTGGGCCATCTCGCCCCTTTGGATTGTACAGCTCAGGAAAAAACGATGGCCACACAACCAAGCGGTCCAGAAATTTTAGCAGAGATTGGTCCAACTTCCCGCGCACCGTCTTTGTAAGTCAGCGCCTGTCATGATATACTGCCCGTATACCAGGAAGGTCACACCTCTTAATCCATTCGTCCCCATCGGATCATTCTGATCGAGCCCGAACTGCACAGGGAACAAAAACCGTGGAGTTTGGCATCGAGTTCCGTCCCCATTAGCGCCTTAAAACCAGCTGCCATATACCAGCTTGATGGTGTACACATATCTACTCAAAAACAAAGACTTAAAAAGTAATTCGGATTTTCCTCCCTACGTTATGCAAAGCAGCGAAACAAAGCGAATTCCGTTGAGAGGGTTTTAAAAGACGGACCTGTTGTGCTTTTCGGAGTGATCAGTGAAGACAGTCTTGTTTGATGAAAAACAAACCCTAGTTTGAGTGATGACTCATCAGAATACTGAGGTATAAGCAAAAAAAATGAGTGGTGCACCGAGCAGCGTGCAACAAAGTATGCAAAGCAAGGTGCAACATGCTTGAAAAGAATTATACAGGCGGACCGCACAACAGGCGAGTTGTACGACCACCATTGATTCCGACGGTCAGCAGACTGTTTGTGTGGTGCCAAAGGTATTTTGGAATTTGGTGCAAAGTCCGTTGCAGCACCAGCAGCGATCCAATTACTGGTTTACAGCTTGACGATCCATTCGCGCCTAAATTGCGGGATGGTAGAAATACCCCAGAGAGCATTCTTACGGTAAGTTATCCGGGGAAGTGCAGCAGTATCTCGCTGAAAATCGGAGGACTTGATGGATGAGGTAACGCTTTGATGTAGAAGAACTGATGCTGGTGCTCAAATTGGCCGATGAGTCTCCAAAAGCCTCCCTCTATGTGCTTGCTCGCCCATCTTATTCCTTAGGTTTACATCGGCATCAGTGGTTTGCACGTCCCATGTTCGGCTCAGCGCCAACCTATTGTGGTCGGAGCGGGCGTACGGTGGATAAGTCAGGGTTGGTCGGTAGATCCGTATCAGGGGCCAGTCGACCACACTGGTGACACTGAATGTAGTCACTCAGTAAATGGATGTGGCAGGCACGTCGTAATTCCGCTTTTCGAGTGGGTACGACCTGCACGTGAGCATAGCCTGTCACATCTTTTGCTGCATTTGACAGTGATCACAATACTGAATGTTTGTTATTCATCTTCGTGTTTGATGTATTTCGAACCGTCTGAGGGAATATCTTCAAATTCCCTTCACTCGACTGTGGCAAACCGACTAAAGGAGGTTGGTCCAATAAGTCAAAGTGCCAACTAAGAATAGCCAGGTTTGAGCAATGAACAGCGAATAAAAGTTAGTTGTACTGAACTGACTACCGCCAGGAGTGGAACGACGACATGTGACCTCTTGTACGTGTACCTTGTAATTTTGTGCAAGTTTCAACCATGGAACGACTGCCACTGGATCACAATGAATAAGCAGAGCAGAGGAGTCTGGGGCGATGAACGAAATTCACGACAATATGGGTACCAAGATTCGCAGGGAAACACAACGTAGCTACTTGTGTGCTTTACTGATATTCATGGAGAAAATAAGGTCAGAGTCGATAAGAATAGTATGCACGTATTGTACCAGAGAGTTAACTTACGAGCCTGAGTTTTCCATGAGGATATTGAACTGGATCCGTTTGAAGGCTTCCAAAACAAATCCAGTTGTCTGAATGAACGAGAGGTGGAATAGGGAATATGAACTGGCAACCGCGTTTAAGCCTCAGGATGGTGGTAGATGAATAGACAGACTCACAAACTCTTACCCGTGTGACAGAATATTGGTATAGTCCCAGCCCAGAGTTGGCAATCCGAAAATGATCGCAAATGAACATGCCATGATTCAGAGACAAGCCCCAAGAGTGACGAAACCGGCAGTGGACTGCGTGAGCAGAATTTTCATCCACTTTATGAGACACCTTGAATTCCGCTCCCTAAACGTAAGCCACCTCAGTGTAGCACACACGGTTGGAGGGCACCACAAACGAGAGACCCAGGTGAATTTTAGCTGAACCCGCAGACGACATCTAACCACTATTTGTCGCTGGAAGTCGAGTACGAAGTACGGTCAATAGATATTAGAGCCAATCTGATGAGCTCCAAGAAGGTTAAAGTCAGATGTCAAACGTATTAGACTGAAGAAATAAGTCCACAAGCCTATAAAAACCCAATAAGGTGGCCAATGTGGGATGGGTTGGAACCGGGGCGATATGTTCTTAGCAATAAGTACAACAGGTTTGCTTATGTTTTAGACACTTTAAACATGTTCATAACAGCGCTTTCTAGAAGGCCATCAAGCTGGCTTTTAGATACGGTCAATCAAGAGGGCGGATACATGTGGCAGAAGGGAATTCTAGTGTTTCAAAACACGTACAGAATGAGAAACGGCGAGAGTTGAGTCAACGTGACCTATCTGGGAGCTTCAAGTAGTGCATCGTGTATGCGATGGTTAACAGGGGTCTAAATTGGTCTGCGTTTGGTATACGGCATGTCGTGTGGAATACCCAGAGTCATCGGACACTGTTTGTAATCGCAAATACGCAGAACTTGAGGCATTTTCATCGCTTTCGTATGCAGTTGTTTTCAACACTCACAAGGTGAAATCAAAGAGTGTACAGGTGTTCCACATCATGTTGGACGGGTCACAGATAACACTTACGTTCGTTGAATGGCTGTTTCTAACACCTAATTCATGTGATTTCTCTACGTTAGACTGTAGTGGGGTAAGGTTTTCTGGTATTCATATTTGGCCACTCAGAGTTTTGATTGACCTTACGAATAGTGCTGATTTCCAGGTATTGTCTATAAAGACAAAAGTCCGTCTTACGTGGGGCTGGAAAAGATAGAGGAGCAAGAGTATACAGACCTACGCATGAGACTGTGAAGACAATTAACTCGACACAAGTCCCTATGAGAGTTTCTCCAGCTTTTAAAGGAATGTTTCAGAGTGAGAGATAGAATAATATCCAGGCACACGGACCAGTTAATGTGACGAAATACACACCTACAAACTACAGAACGTTCCGCAAGTTCCGAAGAAAAAAGAGAACGATGCGAAATCATCATCATCGTCACACTTAGATGGATTCATTTCGAAGGAGTAAAAAATCCAACCATATATGGATGTCAAAGAAATGACCAATGCAAGGCTCAGTTGGTGACATTTCAAAAGCCTACCAAGACGGAACACTTGAAGGTAATCAGTATCACGCCTGAAAGAAAATGATGAAAAACAGCTTGAAGGATATCAGTACTATCAGTGGAAAAGGCCAGAACCACTGGCGGTAAACCTGGAGGTACGGGAAGCCAGAGGGGAATGATCAAATAGCCAACCAGATATGGGAACGTATTAGCTAGCAGGAACCTCTATCTAACGAAAAACACCAAGGGGACGATGAGAAGAACATTCATCTATAAACTTACTTCTGCACAAAGAGGACGCAATGAAGCTAACGTGGACAGCAATAGAAACAAGCGTACTGCGATCTGCCTTATAAGCCAGTTGGAGTGGGGGGGGGGGGGGTCAGAACAATATGACTAGTGGGAATAAATATTATGTAGTATTATTGTTGACCTTTCGCGTGATTTAAAATGTTCGGACCTACTGTCATCTCAGGTTAACAGCAAGTAGTCTTGCTTTTCATAGAACTGGTGTTCATGTTCCCCGATATTTCATACAACACGAACTTCGAATGACGATTCACAGGACGGACAGTCAACCACTTGCTAACCTCGCCACTACCGGTTCTACGTGTATCCACCTGTTCCTTATCGTTTGTGCTTGTTCCTATTGTGATTACGTTCCCCCAGAGGGTAGAATTGAACAAGAATGGTGGAGACATTTCAGGCAGCCACCGACCTGGCCAAAGGCCACGTGACCAACGTCACTCCACTCAGCACGTGCCCAAGGCCGTTCCACCTTGTATCTGATTCCCTATTGGCCCGTGCCCCTTTGTGTCTGACTTAAATGCAGTTGGTGTGCACAACAGGTGTGACGGCGTGTGTTAGGGTGCACAGTGGGACCGCGACATCCCTAAGCGCTCTTCTACGTGCTCTCGTGCAGTGCAGTGGTTGCTCAACATCTGTGACGGACAACCTGCCTTCGATAGTCGAGGGTGGTGGATCTCAACCCAGATATGGCAGTCTCAGGACAGTGAATTCGGTGGGCTTTGTGACCTGCTGACTTGTTGCCGGTGTCCTAGGGACCGCTTGTCCTGGTGTGATAATGAACCTTGCCAACTGTGCGATGAAGAGCTTTAGGCTTGTCCCAAGGTGAGCACGCATATTGTAGCGGTGTAGCAGCCGGCCTCTCCAGAAAGCGCACAGGCGTGGTTGCCAGGCGATCCGCAAGGAAGTCCTGCTATAACGTTGACTTCGACCGAAACACCAAGGCCCAGTACACTATGTTGCGTATATCCGTGTGCGTCCAGATTTTTAGCTCCCGGGAGGGGCAAATTGAAAGCAATGGATTTATAGTATAATACTATTACCAATGCTTTAAAGCGCCAATTGGAGGCAAGAGACGATGATGGCTTTGCCTGATGTAGGCAAAATGAGAACGCTCGTCGGCCCAGGTTAGGGAAATCTAGCCGACCATCCAGCTACGCCCGTGTTCTGACGAAGCAAGCGATAACCTTTAATCCAGCTACGAGATAAATTCATTCACCCCAAAACTTAACTGTTGATACTGAAGCAGGGGAATCTATTCGGATTGCAGTCTGTCTGTCCTGTACTAAGGCCTTATGCGTTTCAGGTAATTGTCGCATTCTCTGGGGTTTAATACTCAGTGGATATTAGCTAAAAGATATAAGTCAATACGAAAATGACGGTGAGTTATACAAGAGCGTCACCGCCCAGCTGCTCGCGTTATAGAGTAAGCAATGCAGTCACATTTACCTCCTAGTGGTAGTTCGCTAGACAAACTAATCTCTTCTGTTCATTACAGGACGTCCAAAGCTCACTGAACACTACGCACCAAGGGAGCCGTATCTTTCCTGCCTGTAATCATCAAAACACCCGATAAGATTCAACTTTATGTCTCGTCCAAGTTGAACAATTGACTTCACCCAGTTGAGACGGATGAGTGCCTGTTAGTCGTGCATGTGAGCTAGGTTCGCTTAACCAACCTAGATATCGTGGACCCCGAAGGGCATGTTAGTCAGCTAGCTTCTAGTTAGTGTATTGCGTAAGCAACGACAGTCTCACTGAGCAGTTCCAACTGAGAGTTGCAGGCTTATTTTCTATTTAGATTTGGGTTTAATGGTTGACGTTTTAATGAACAGCTAAGCAAGTACATCTCTAGCCCCAAAGTATGATAAATCTCCTGGGCCGACTGATTACAGCCTGTCATACTTCGCCATTTGCGATGGAGAAATTCGATGCCAGTAAACATGACCTGAATGCTTCCAGGGCGATATCAAAAAGTGCCCAATCTACGGACACAGATCGCCTAGAATTGATGGTAAGACTTACGTCTCACTTCCATTCAACGGAATACTGTGAGTACAATGCTGAAAGCACTACGTTCTTCAAAATTCGAGCTGGTCATCAGAAGGTAATGATTGTTTTAATCACGATCACTCAGAATAAGAGGTGCAAGGAGACAGGTTTTCGTACCCGTCTACTCGAGTAGAAGACAGCAAACAAAATTTGGATACAGGAGTGACCCTCTTGCATACGTTGCGTCAACGAGTATGATGTAGGCTGCAGCAAGCTCCAAAAATTATCCGACCACAGAGCTACCTGCAACAGTCGTTCATTTCAAGCACACATTTTCCGGTAACTTGAGACATTTTATTTCGCTAGGCTCTGTTTTCCGACTCGAGGTATTTGTTGACCTTGAAAAATTGCTCACTTAAACAAATCACCTATACGAAGAAGCCACAGGAAAAGGCATTGGACATAGACAGTTTTAAATATGAAATGGTAACCTCGAAAACGCAGATTCCGGGAAATCATTTGTCGGATACTGATCGTCGCTTCCGTAGGCTTATATTCATTCGTAACTGCTTAGATACTTTCACTCAAAAGTCTGCGGAACTTTACGGGCCTCTCCCATCATCTTCTCCATCCACGTACCGTTTCCTCTACGAAGAACTGGAGATCAATGCAACCGAAGTGCGATGTAGCCAGAAGCCCGTCTATCTGGCCGGGATTTAGAATATAACTCAGTAGACACAGTGGCCCCCGGGACGAACTGGAATCTCCATATGGATGCATCACATCAAACAAAACAAAGCGAGGCATATCGCAAGCACACAATCCAGGGAACACACACACAATGAACCCTACAAAGCTAACACAAGCTGGTCGCAGTGACTTCCAACAGCTCACAGGATCATACCAATCAGAAGAGCTGATGACGGACACAAATTTCGCTGCACTTCACCTATATTCAATTGGTCGTAAGACTTTGAAAAACGTCGGATCATAAGATCTTATACCACTAAGCTGTTTAGAGTTCGCCTATTATACACCACATGAGGCTCAGTTTGTTTGATAAGACAGGAACCTAGTTTGGCCCGGAGCACCTGAGTAATGTTTTTGGTTGATGTTTTCGAGCCCTGACCACATGGCAGACACGGACTGATAGTGGTTTCGATAGACGCAGACGGGTTGTTGTGACTCGCCAAAGCACACTACGGCACCGTATCTATTATCAGGACTTTGTGAAGTGACCGAGCCTGTGCAGAGAAAACGTGGTTTCGCACCAAGATGTGGGTAGTAAGAGCCCAGTAGTTTTCAAGTTTTGAGAATTGTGAATGACTTTCGGGACCGAATGCGTTGAAATCTAGACCAGAGATTTTGTACAGGCGGTAAGTTGGATCATCTGGGCTGATGGAATTTTTGAGGTGTACTAGATCTCGCTAATTTAATCGACTTTGAAGACCGTGCGTAATTCAAAACACATGAATTCGCTGAGTAATTTGTGCTTCGCAGGGGACTAAGATAGTTCTGTCTTTCCTGCGACTCATCGAACACCTTCTCAATGAAGGACACTGGATAGTTTTTTGCTGCGGCATACCTATAATAGTGGCTTTTAAAGACTTCACCAGAACACACCACGTTAGCTCCGTTTTTGTGAGTTCAAAAGATAGCATGGAAGACAAGTAGATATTAAACAAATGGAATAAGTTCGGAACCGACTGGGAAGCCCAGTTATAAACCCGCTGATGGTTTACCAAATTCTTCTGGATCGATAATTCATACAGAATGTGTCGGTTTACGATGCGAATTCACATCCAATCCTGATTTATTGGCCCTGACGAAAAAAATCGTTCAGCTGTAGCACCCTTTCGGTGCTTCACTGCCATGCCACACCAAGGAGGCACGAGGGCTGGGGTATTGCCAGGTCGCCCAAGCCTAGACAGGGGAAGTCGAGGGGACGGTCTGCAATTCTGCAAATATGCAGGTCAAGTTTGCATCGGGTAAAAAGCGAGAGTCAAGTGAAAATTCTCGCCGAACTATCAAAATAGAGCGCCACCGAATACGCAGTTGGCACTACTGGCACTATTTTCAGTGACTGGGAGCTTGTAGTTGATGTTAGACGAAAAGTGGAGGAAAATTCGCCCGGAAATTCATTCGGTGTATGAAACGATATGATGTACAAATTAACCAACAAGGTTTTGCTGAAGTTAAGCAAAACGATTAAACACACTGGACAACATCACTAGGGCAGTGGAAACAGACGGATATAAGGAGACCTTCAAAGTGTTTCTCATCGTTCTATACAAGACCGAGTGGAAAAAAAGTTGTAACAACGAACAACCGTCAGATTATTATCATGATGACTGTTCGGCCCCGATAAGGTGAAAGCAAGCAAACGTTGTGCAGAAAGTTCCATGGTGGATACAATTCTAAGTCGTGAACCATGAAAAAAATTGATATGACACTGAAAAAAACAGCCTATGGAAGAAAGATCTTCAATGATTAATAAACCGTGACATCAGTATCCTACAGCACTCTTAGGATTCACAAAGCGCGACGAGTTCATTACATCGGGTTTGAGTTAAAAGACGAATTTTCAGGAGACTCTTGCAACCACAGTTTGTTCAGTACAACAGCAATGTCCATGCAAACAGAGACCAGACAAAACACGCCAAACAACGCCGATTCAAAAGATGCATCATGGTGGTGGTGATACGTACCGGTTCTATGTGCACCCATGTTGAATATTTCTCTTTCGTCGGGGTGGGTAAACCATCGAAGGCAGCAGCTATTTCAGGGTCAGCACCCAAGAAAAATGGTTGGGAGAGAAAGAGCGGTAGATCACCACCTTTTCTGGCTACACATCTTTGCAGTGACAAAAGTCCTTGAGGCGGACAGCCAGTATCTTTTGTGCAAAACATATCTGTACGCCATTTGGCCAGCGGGTCTGTCGAATTAGGCGGGGATCCGGAAAACACGGTGACCTAGAAGAACGAAGTGAAAAAAGTGTCTGAACGCGCGAAGATAGACTGAAATGGTAGGATGCAATTAGAATAGAATGTTCTCAAATGTGGGGCAATCTTCCAAGTCAACTCGTCGCATATTGATGGTGCTTTCAAAGTGACCGTGCTATCCAACTTTGGAACTTAGTAGTTACAAACCTACAACGGATCAGCTGATACTTTATTTTAACTGAACATCTATTTCAAGGTCATGATACTCGTCTACAATACCATTTATCTGAAATCTTCGTTTCTCCGAAGATTTGGAGATGGCATTCAGCTAGTGCCAGAAATTATTGGAAACGTTCAGTTCCCAAGCAGTTTGCACCGAATTATTAATCGATCGTCTATTGAATTTACAAACACATATATTACTTTTGGTAGCGCAGTTTCAGAACTGTCTGATTTTACTCGCTTTCCTTTCCATCGCCACTAGGACTTATTCGGGTCGGTCCTGTCGGCATCTGATTGTCGTACCTGACTACCTGGGGGGTTTACTAGTATTGTGAACTATCCCAAATGACTGAAAATGCAACAAAACTCCAGTAGAACATACGGTTGACGGAAAGTCAGGCAATGTACTTAGCTGGGTGAAGCTGTCGAACAGTTTCCAAAAACCACATGAGTATTGTGCTCCATCTAGGCTATAGGCACCTGCCCTTCCACTACGGAAATTCATGGCTGTTGGCGAGTGGCTAAGATGAAGCAAGTAAAGAGGAAAGGACAAAAAACTTGAGACGAATCACTTGCATCACCGTTCTGCTGAAGCTGATTGAACGAGTCATCCTGAAGCGAGTGCAACGTTCCCTATTCGGAGAAGCCTTGCATATTGTCAAATTCACTCCGTAGCAGATGCTGTTGCATAGGTAGTTCACTACAGCAGTGGATACAAAAGCCGATGCTGTAAGTCTGTGGTACATTGAATGCATTGATACTTTTTCTAGCGTTGACAGGATACAATTACTGTTGTAGGCAGGGGGTGAATCTAGTCTGGTACAGGTAACTGAAAACTGATTATTCACGAAAGTGTGTGGCCAATACGTAGACGACATCGTGATCGACCGTAACTATCGCGATCCTGGGACAAATCTGTAGCCAGGAATGGTATTTAACAGAAATGTTAGCCGATCGGGGAATGTTCTTCTACCCCAGGTTCGTTGTAGATTATGCTAAATATTATAAAGGAGAGATTTAGGTGAGCCACTGGTGAAAACCGAATTGGCATGCAAATGAGTGTATCTGTCGGGCTAGGTTATTGTCTTTGCCTACGTCTTCTGTCAACGTCACAGCGACTTGTTTGTAAATTCCCAGCAGATCTACCACAAGATGACTCAGTGGTTAGAGCACGAATTTACTGACCGGAAGGTCCGTCGCTCGAGACAGACCTGGACTTCTAGGTCTCGGCAATCAGTATCCCAGCCGTCGAGCTACCTTCGGGTGGCATGTAAGCTAGGTACCAAGAGGATTTTCTCTCAGCTGTAACACCCTTCCAGTGCCTAGCTGCCATGCCACCCGAACGAAGCAAGACGGCTGGGATACTGCCAGGTTGCCCAAGTCTGGACAAGGGAAGTCGAGAGGCAGAGGTCGGGTTCGAACCGCGGACCTTCCGGTCAGTAAATTCGCGCTCTAATCACTTGGGCCATCTCGTCCCAAGTGATACAGCTGGACGATTATTTTATTTTATTTAAGATCTACCGCGAAATGTCTGGGTTTCTGTATTTTCAGCTAAATTTCGCTGATCTGTCAAAACTAGTGAGAGCCCACGTCCGGTGTTTCCATCAATCATTGATAGTTTTATTAGTCCTTGCATTCGGCCGCACTAATATTTATTCCTCACTTGTCCTCTTCCCAAGATTCACTGGGAGAGATTACTGTCGTGTTTTTTAGTCCCACCTGATGAATTCTTTCGGATGCTTTCGCCCATCAGCCACTAAGCCAGGTCTACCTTTCACTCATCAAAGTCCCCATCTACCGTAGATTCATCACCACATACCTGGCTTATTCTTGTAATTGATGCCATTTCCTTACATAATAAGCACGCGCCTCGATTACTCTTGCAAAACATCCACTTTTGGGTTACTGGTCAGGAATGATTCCTAACATGGAGAGAGCTGCAAATGTTGATTATTCTCATCTTTTCCCGCAAGATCAGCAAGCGATGAACTACGAGAAAAAGCTTCAGAGGTCGACCGGACACTTCAGTTCACCACACGATCGCACACCAAGCCACCAGCACCATTCAGCTGTAGTACTGCCTAGATGACTCAGTGGTTAGAGCACGAATTTACTGACCGGAAGGTCCGTCGCTCGAAACAGACCTGGACTTCTAGGTCTCGGTAATCAGTATCCCAGCCGTCGAGCTACCTTCGGGTGGCATGTAAGCTAGGTACCAAAAGGATTTTCTCTCAGCTGTAACACCCTTCCAGTGCCTAGCTGCCATGCCACCCGAACGAAGCAAGACGGCTGGGATACTGCCAGGTTGCCCAAGTCTGGACAAGGGAAGTCGAGAGGCAGAGGTCGGGTTCGAACCGCGGACCTTCCGGTCAGTAAATTCGCGCTCTAATCACTTGGGCCATCTCGTCCCAAGTGATACAGCTGGACGATTATTTTATTTTATTTAAGATCTACCGCGAAATGTCTGGGTTTCTGTATTTTCAGCTAAATTTCGCTGATCTGTCAAAACTAGTGAGAGCCCACGTCCGGTGTTTCCATCAATCATTGATAGTTTTATTAGTCCTTGCATTCGGCCGCACTAATATTTATTCCTCACTTGTCCTCTTCCCAAGATTCACTGGGAGAGATTACTGTCGTGTTTTTTAGTCCCACCTGATGAATTCTTTCGGATGCTTTCGCCCATCAGCCACTAAGCCAGGTCTACCTTTCACTCATCAAAGTCCCCATCTACCGTAGATTCATCACCACATACCTGGCTTATTCTTGTAATTGATGCCATTTCCTTACATAATAAGCACGCGCCTCGATTACTCTTGCAAAACATCCACTTTTGGGTTACTGGTCAGGAATGATTCCTAACATGGAGAGAGCTGCAAATGTTGATTATTCTCATCTTTTCCCGCAAGATCAGCAAGCGATGAACTACGAGAAAAAGCTTCAGAGGTCGACCGGACACTTCAGTTCACCACACGATCGCACACCAAGCCACCAGCACCATTCAGCTGTAGTACTGCCTAATTGCAATGCCACCCGAAGTAGGCAAGAGGGCTGGGATACTGTCACGTTTCCCAGGTCTAGACAGGGAAAGTCGAAAGGCAGTGGCCGGGTTCGAACTAAGGAACTTACGGCCAGTAAATTCGTGCTCTAGCCACTGAGTCATCTCGCCACAACTCCCACATTATCCATTGTGACGCCTGTAGCCCAGACTGAGACAATGGAGCTAGCAAAGGAAAAAAAGCGCCCATGAGAAGACAGCATCTTGGCGGAAATATACAAAGTCCTTAAGTCTCTCTTGTCAAGTTGGAAAGATGAAGTGTTCCTGGTTTCCCTGTATACTGCTACCGACACCAAAAAACGATTGAACGTTTTATGCGAACTACCAGGGTATCAGTGCGATAGATAACGCAACCAAAATGAATCACTTAGAACTGGCATGTACAAGCGGGGGTCCGGGGTGTTTTCGAACGTCGACGCGAAACCCTACTATAACTAAACCTCCGTAGGGTTTGGTGCTACTAAACAGATACTAAACTGCGCACTTTACTTGTTGTATTCGATCACTCCAACCCTGGCTATTATGGTGGTGGTCATTCCGCACATTTCGACGGTGTGTAAGTGCAATTAGCTGAAACCGAGTAAAGTGATGGTGTTGTTCCTACCATACAGTCTTTGGAAAAGTGCAAATTTTCTGGAACGACCAAAGTTGATATGACCTAACTTCGTTCGAGCTTCCAAAGTAGACGTCGGACTCATATCTTAGGACGCAACATCGACATCGTACGGACATTATTTAGCCAATGATTTCAGTGCAAAGTAACCTGGAGCACATAAGGGGTCCGTAGTGGTATGCCTTATGCACTGTAGAGTGCATTTGTTGGCGTGACAAGGCGGGGAGCGCGTCCGAAGAGGTCACACAAGACACACAACTAGCAATTACTTCAAATATAGTTGGAACGCGAAGAAGACTTTCACCAGTGTTATCATCATCATCATCATCATCGACAGTATGACATCAGTGTTCAACACTGATGCTTCACTGCCGTACAACCATGATTTATTTGAAAGCCTTAGTGTAAAGATAAGATTAAAGGTGGATGGGGAAGGGAGTTAGTGCTAGCTTACCACAATCATTCCGAGGTGCCTATACCTCCAGACACTCACTCAGACGATCTGGATAGAAATTGACAACAAGAACGCCACTGACATTGGTTGGCAGCCGTATCTTGTAGTGTCCTCAACCAGGCACAGTGAGGATCACGCGGTCCCCATCCTGGAAGGCGAGTAGCACCGACAGCACCAAAGCGTGTATTATAGTAGTTGAACAATCTAGGTACATATTTTGGCAAGCGATGTACGGGCATACGAAGACCCGATCACTGAGGTGTTGTACAGTAACAGGCCAAACTCAAACACCGGGCCGTCAAACCTTTCGCGCGTTTACAGAAGACAAGCGATGAATAAGCTATTTCCAAAGAACGTAAAGAGACAAAGGACGTACCTCAACATCGTCTCTTTCCTGAGTAGTTGTCGTATTCACGGCATATGAGGTCACAGAACGGCAAATATCTGGCACGTGGAATTCGACGGTCGACCCAACCCTGAGGCCTGGAGCTGCGACCGTACCATCTAGCAGAAACGGAAAAATGGAGGCTTGGTTAAATAAAACCCCCATGGAAAACTTGAAGAGTAGGAAGGTTTCGGGACACCAATAAGCGAGATAAAGCAATCGCCTTTACACAACATGGGAAGAATGAGGTAGACTTCGAGTATCCACTTCCTTCTAAAAAAACAGCCGAAAGTTCTCCGTTGACAGTGAAAGCCTGCAGCGTCCTCCCGGTTTTACGTAGGAAATAGACGGTATCTAAATACATTAGACTAACAATGCGTGTTCCTTAATGGGCTTGATAACTGAGTCGACTTTCGTTGTAAAAGTGCACGGTGTACGGGAGAATATACTACTCAAGGTAGTTTGTATTGGACCAATCAGGTAGTGTCGTGCGGTGGTTTGCTAGAATGCCATCTGTCTTTACACATTAGTCGTTTCTTCGTCAAAATTAGATTGTTGAAACTGCAATGCACAAGAGATCGAGGCCAATTGATCAAGAATGACATGCGATATGACCTACGGTTTGGCGACAAAATGCACAAACACACACACAAACAAGTACATGTTATGGATACAGAGATAGTGTTGAGTTGTGCCAAAAGTCCGAGACCGGATTCACAAAAACCTTGGTTTATTGATGAACTGGTTTGACCAGCAGTGACCGCCTCAACAAAATACTTTTATAAATGTTATGCCTCATATCAAATTCTTCTGTCATTCCTGACCTGAAGGATGGTGCTACAAACCGATCCGCAGTGGATTGCGTATGGATGAAGTCGAGCAGATTGTGGGCTGAGTGAAGGGTGTAATTTGGTTGCATCGTACGCGAGTGAAAGCGAAGTATATTGTTCGAAGTTCTGTCCACCGCGAGCGGCTTTCTCCAAGATTGGAAGAATCTGTCTGGCAAACTGCATTTACAATGTTTGAGTGCGGTTGGCTGCTCGGTGTAGTCGGGGGAAAGGACTCAGCTCAATAGCGGAGCTAACTTCATATGGCTCCTAGGTGGATCGACGAATGACACTGTCGAGCTCCGTATGTTGGCAGCCCAATTTGGCATTGAGTCTCACAGTATGGCTTAAAAATTGGACAGTTCAGTTGGATACCGCGATGAGTGCAACAAACAGTAACACGTCCCGTCTCATATGTGATTGCGTGCCACTCTGCCTGTGAATGCACTGTGACATCAGCCCCACGCGTACCGATCGCGTTGGTGGTTGACCATATTCGGCGTACACTAGTGATTTGTTATGTTATCCAGTATTCGCGAACCACGCTTTGCCAAACGCGCTCACAAGTGTATGCAGTTGGTTCTCAGTCGGTCCAGTGGTCTTCCTGTGAGAACCGGTGGGACAGTTTAGCAGCAAGTGGGATGAACGGGGGAAAAGTAACTGAAACTGAAACGACCAATTGGAACTTGCCGTAGTTCCCTGGGCTACGACGGGCTTCCAGTAGTGATTAAGTGAGAAAAACAAGTCAAATCACACAAAAGCGTTCAGCGCGACTCAGTGTGGTGGCGGTTCATGTTTATTTCTGGCAAACAGCATATCCATCCAAGTGATTTCACCAAATCATTAAAAAGAAACTACACAGAACTATTTTTATTCTGAAAGTGTAAGGGTTCATTTTTATTACACTGCTGCACGCCTCGATTTACCTCAAGTCCGATGACGTAACAGTAGAAAAACTTGAAAGTGACACCCCTAAAGTGTACACAGACACCTGCTGCTCACCTGTACCATTGAGCATATTCGCTTCCACATTATCCCAAATGTCCAGAATTCTGTGAAGAGTGGCAGAGGCAGAACAAAAGTCAGAATCACATAGTCAGTAAAAAAACAGCAGACAGATTGAGAGTGGGGACCTACAAAACGACTGATTTCAGGTGGCCTTATGGCGCTTCGGAGTCGGTTTCACAGATGGCGAGATACGACGTTTGGGTTACCTTCATCAGTTGTTTCTTAGCACATAAAGGAAATCAAGCGCAGTTTGACATCATGCTACTTGTGATCAATCATTGCGTTGGTTGTTGGTCAGGTAGAATTTGATCCGTTCGCCGAGCTTGGCAATCGGCTTGCAGACCCTTCGTCACCATTAGGGTGTATGTTTATACTCCATTTGAAGATTATCTATTACCTCTTAAAAAGATTGGATAGTTAGGTGATAGCGTTCTTCGTGAATTTATTGGTCCGTTTTTTTATCTTTGCTGAGTTGTGGTCTGTCTTACTTAGGGTCCATTGATTATCTCAATGCCTTCTGTTTTTATTAGTTCCACCTTCGCTTTGATTGGCTTCTTCACAACTTGTATTGCGTTGTGGTCCGATCTCGACCTTGACGGGTTGGTTGAACCGCCCTATTTTCTCGATTGTAACGACTTGTGTACCTGCATTCACCGGCTAATTTGGTACTTTGGTTTAGTGACTTAGGGCCTCCTCTAATCTGATTGATGTGTCCGTTTGAACTGGGCTTTCCTGCTTTTTTATGACTTAATCGTCTGGTTGCTTGTGCACCTCAGACCTCTGTAGTTCTGGTTCAGTGGCTGATAAATAGGGTTCATTTCGGTATACTTGCTCCTAATTTGTTCGGTGGAGTTCCACGCTTCCATAAATTCACGAGCGATCGCTATGTGGACCGTTAGGTACGGATTTAAGAGAGATCGTCACACAGAGTACTCGTATATGCACACGAAAAACTGTAAGATGGATGATGTACGGGTGATCAAGCTGTAAAACAACAAAATCGAATTTTCCTCGGGTCCAACTACTCAGATGCCACATTTGTGAATCTGGCGGGGATGGTTCTTTATACCGGATTTGGAGCTCGAGACAGCTGAGCGAAAAAAGTGCGCAGCTGTTGAAAAAACGTTCCCCCCACTTAGAACCCAGTCCGGTTATCTAGTTCCTTCATCCTAAGTCTGAACACTTTGACAATGTACTGGCCCTCGGGCTTCGTTCGAGTCCAGTGACAAGAGCATCGAAAGGGTGTCAAAACGATTTATTTTTTCGTATTTTGGGATGTTGCGAGACTAGTGACGCACTGGAATCGACGTGTCAGTGCAACCAATCAACATCGTTGAGGAAGTTGGACAGAGCATAGTTAGGCTACCAAAACGCTTACAGTGATAAATAAAACCATATTCAACTTGATAGTGTGTCTGTGTGAAATTAGACGAACATTGATGAAATTTGCAAATTGCTCGGTGACATGGTAAGAGTCATGCTTAGTCATGTAAACAACAACATCGTGAATGGGTCAGACCCATTTTGCTCACAAATGATAGTCCAGCTTTTAAAAAAAGCTTCCCAACTCCAAAGTACACCAAAGGACGGGTTTCCGCCCCATAATGTCCATATAGGATCAGCAGGTTTATGGAGATAATCAAAGTACGAAACAGTTAGTCACACTATCTGCACAAATCTAGCAACCGATCGCGATATGGATACGTCTTAAACCATAAATTTCAAGCAAGAGCTCGCTCTAAAGCAGACCCCTTGATGTTTTCGTACAACGGACGTCCGGGGCAAAAAAGGAAACAGTACGCAACACCGGGTCTTTTGTTAGTCACTCTGAATGGAAAGTGATGCTCGAGTAGAAAAGAGTACCCGGCTACGTCAGATTCTAGTGCTTCTAAGCGAAGGTTGTCTGTGCTATCTAGTAGTCTAGTTTAGATGATATCTTGCCTGCAACAAGGAAGATCCTTGCAGATTAGATGAACGAAATACATAACTCACTGTTGACCATTCACTTCGTAAATTTTTCCGATATCTTGAATGTTTTTCGCACCAGTATTCACAACGAATTCGTTCACGTTTGTGCCGTTGTTCTATAACAATGGGGATCAATATTGGGAAAACGCGAAAGAAGAGGAACACACGGGCATGAACTGCCAAAAGGGGTAGTGTGCAAAGATGACAGTTACGCTTGGACTACTGTGTGTACGGAAATTTCGACCGAAAACGTTCAAATAAGTTCACTCATCTGTAGAGGTTAGAGTAAGTCTGCAAATGGGCTGCGAGGTATGGCGCGACCAAATAAGAGCTCTGGGAAGCCCCGAGGACGAATCAAATAGCCCCTAATCAACTCGTTCAGCTGTGACACCCTTTCGGTGCCTAACTATCATGCCACCTAAAGGTTGCACGAGGACTGGGATACTGCCAGGTAGTCCAAGCCTAGACAGGGAAAGTCGAGAGGCAGAGGTCTGGTTCGAACCACGGACCTTCCGGTCAGTAAACTCGCGCTCTACCCGCTTTGGCCATCTCGCCCCAATCGACTGCAACAATCAAGATCATCCCGCAAATATCTGGTTTTCTTGGGTTCCTAGGTTTACGGCGAGCCATCTCTATATTTACAAGAAAACACTGCTTCTTTTCTGACAAAGGTCGAACAAGGAAACTGGATGAGGAAAGCACATGCAAATAAGCCGGAGTTCTTTACTGACTTCTTTGTGAACTGTAATCGGCCAGTACGAATAGACTAAATGGGCAGAAAGGACAGTGTAGACGACCGCGAAACAGGGTTTGGACAAGTGACCATATGCTGCCAACTTTTTAGTCAACAGGTGGACAGACATTTTGCCCCATAATACTTTCAGTAAATAAAAAAGAAAATAATCGTTCAGCTGTAGCACTCTTTCGCTGCCTAGCTGACATGCCACACGAAGGAGGCACGAGGGCTGGGATACTGCCAGGTAGCCCAAGCCTAGACAGGGAAAGTCGAGAGGCAGAGGTCTGGTTCGAACCACGGACATTCCGGTCAGTAAATTCGCGCTCTAACCAGTTGAGC